CCTCTCACCCGGATAGGAGCACGCATGTGCACACGACCTCTCACCCGGATGGGAGCACGCGTGTGCACACGACCTCTCACCCGGATAGGAGCACGTGTGCACACGACCTCTCACCCGGATAGGAGCATGCGTGTGCACACGACCTCTCACCCGGATGGGAGCACACATGTGCACACGACCTCTCACCCGGATGGGAGCACGCGTGTGCACACGACTTCTCACCTGGATGGGAGCACACGTGTGCACACGACCTCTCACCCAGATAGGAGCATGCGTGTGCACAGGACCTCTCACCCAGATGGGAGCACACGTGTGCACACGACCTCTCACCCAGATAGGAGCACGCGTGTGCACACGACCTCTCACCCAGATGGGAGCACACGTGTGCACACTACCTCTCACCCAGATAGGAGCACACATGTTCACACGATCTCTCATCCAGATAGGAGCACACGTGTGCACACGACCTCACCCAGATAGGAGCACACGTGTGCACACGACCTCTCACCCGGATAGGAGCACGCGTGTGCGCACGACCTCTCACCCGGATAGGAGCACGCGTGTGCACACGACCTCTCACCTGGATAGGAGCACGCGTGTGCACATGACCTCTCACCTGGATAGGAGCACACGTGTGCACACGACCTCTCACCCGGATAGGAGCACGTGTGCACACAACCTCTCACCCGGATAGGAACACACATGTGCACATGACCTCTCACCCGGATAGGAACACACATGTGCACATGACCTCTCACCCGGATAGGAGCACGCATGTACACAGGACCTCTCACCCGGATAGGAGGACGTGTGCACACAACCTCTCACCCAGATAGGAACACACATATGCACATGACCTCTCACCCGGATAGGAACACGCGTGTACACAGGACCTCTCACCCGGATAGGAGCACGTGTGCACACAACCTCTCACCCAGATAGGAACACACATGTGCACATGACCTCTCACCCGGATAGGAGCACGCATGTGCACACGATCTCTCACCCGGATAGGAGCACACGTGTACACAGGACCTCTCACCCAGATAGGCGCTGGCCACTGACGTGGTGCCCTGTTTTCCAGGGGCTGGTTTTGGGGTTATGAAGAAACCAGGGGCCTCAATGTCTCCTGTCTATCGGTCCAGGGTTCGGCCTCCGTCATAGCGCCTGTGCTTCTGAAAAACACTTCTGCTCGGTGAGTGTGGGGTGTTCTGCTCAGGTCAGCTAGCAAGGGGACCTGGACTGGGCTCGGAGGGTGGGCATCAGACGCCCACAGTCCCTGGGACCTCTGACCCTTGCAGACAACCACCGGACACGGCCTTGCGGGAGGACGGGGAGGTTGCAGGTGTCCTGGGAGCCCAGGGATCGCTGGTGTGGACAGCCCAGGGCTCCCGCGCTGCGGGCACACGTGGCCTCCGTCCTCCAGCACCCTCACGGTGCCTGGATTGCAGCGGGTGCTGCGCCGGGCGCACTCCTGGCTCTGTCCACCCGGATGCCAGGCGTGCGGTGGGGTGGAGCCGGGCAGGGCGAGGCGGGGAAGAGCCTGCTGTGCGTGGCGGGAGTGGGGCTGGCTCAGCCTGTGTGGGCTGGAGATGTGTCCGGGGCTAGCGCAGCGGGTCCGGTGACGGTGGAGAAGCCGCCCTCCCCGTCCTGCCTCTGCCTCCTGCGTGTGGTGATTGGAGAGTGTGGCACCGTGTGGCTACCGCGGGCGAGGGGCCGGCGTGGGTCCATGCGGCCTCTGAAGGGAACATCTAGGTCCTAAGCCCGATCTGACCTCTTTCTGTTGTCTGCAAGGCCCAGAGGAGCCGGGTGTTTGGTGGGGATGTGGGGTGTCGTGCGGGGGGGCTGGGTGGTCCGGATCCCTCCTCACTTCTCTGTGGATAAAAACAGATCTGTGATGCTGGACCGAGCGGAAAACCTGCTTCACGACCACTACGGGGGGAAGGAGTACTGGGACGTGAGTACTTGCTGGGCTGTGCCCCGCGGTTCAGGCTGGTGGCGCCCGCCGCCTGCTGTGCGGGCCCTGCCCTGCTGTGCGGCCCGCGGGGGCCTGGTGGCATCCTCGGCTCAGCCCCGCCCTGTCTCCGCAGACGCGGCGGAGCATGGTGTTCGCCAGGCACCTGCGGGCGGTGGGGGACGAGTTCAGGAGCAAGCACCTCAACTCCACAGACGCCTCGGACCGCATCCCGTTCCAGGAGGACTGGGTGCAGATGAAGGTAGGAGGGGTCACCAGGTCAGCTCAGGGCTCGTGTCGGCCTCCTGTGGACACTGCTTCAGAGCAAAGGAGGCTGGAGGACGCGGCTCGGGCCTCTTCCCTGAGCGGCGAGGGACCTCGCGGTGAGGTTTCTTCTTGGGGGGGGGAGGGAGGCTCAAGAGCGCCCCACGTGGTTTCACCGCTCATAGCAAGGGGAGAGAAGCTGCGCCGTCCTGAGACCACCCACTTCCTGACCCACCGTAGCAATCATGTTGACAGCACCACGCTGGCTCCCGGGACGCAGGGCTCGGCCTTGTGAGCGCCCCGTCCCGGGACCCACCGGGCCTGGCGCTGTGCCGGGCGCTCAGGCTGTTAGTCAGGCTCCCCTGGTTAAATTACTTGGATAGTCAGTCCTGAGTGAAAAGAAAATAGGAAGCTGACCGTTCTTTTACTGATTCACGAGGTAAAAGTGTCCCCAGCGATCGAAGACCAGTTCCCCACTCGGAACCAGAGCTGCAGAGCGCGCCAGGCCCCGTGCCGGCGTCCCTGCCTGACCGCCGTGTTCCCACAGGTCAGGCTGGGCTCCTCGCTGGGGGGCCCATACCTGGGCGTCCACCTGAGGAGGAAGGACTTCATCTGGGGACACAGGGAGGATGTGCCCAGCCTGGAGGGGGCCGTGAGGAAGATCCGGAGCCTCATGCAAACACACGGACTGGACAGGGTGTTTGTGGCCACCGATGCCATCAGGAAGGGTACACAGCTCTGAGCCCCAACCTCACTTCTCTTTATTTTATTTTTTGGTGGTCTTGGGTCTTGAACTTGGGGCCAGTGCACTCAGGGCTAGTGCTCAGGGCGAGGGCAGCTCTTTGGCTCACCCTGGGTGAGTTCTACCGCCGAGCCACAGTGCCCCGTCTGGTTTTCTGGTAGTTAATTAGAAGTAAGGGCCTCACGGACTTCCCTGCCTGGGCTCGCTTTGAACCGCTATCCGCCTCCAGAGTAGCTAGGATTACACATATGACCACCAGCACCTGGCCTTATTTCTCTGTAGCTTGATGAAATGCTGGGCAGCCTGGGCACGGGAGGCCAGTCTGAGGGGCTGCGGGGGGCGTGCGCGTGCACGTGCTGCTCGCGGCCAACGCCGGCCCGCCGCCTGCCCTCTGCAGAGCAGGATGCGGGGGGCGTGCGCGTGCTGCTCGCGGCCAACGCCGGCCCGCCGCTGCCCTCTGCCTTGCAGAGCAGGAAGAGCTGAAGAAGCTGCTTCCAGAAATGGTGCGGTTTGAGCCCACCTGGGAGGAGCTGGAGCTGCACAAGGACGGCGGCGTGGCCATCATCGACCAGTGGATCTGCGCCCACGCCAGGTACCTGCGCCCACCTGCCGGAAGGTTCCCGGCCACATGCCACAGCGCGGCGCCTCACCGTGGCCATCCCCGTCAGCGCCCTCCTCCCGCCGCTGGCGATGCCCGGCCTGCGCCAGTTCTCATGGCTGGGCCTGCAGGGCATCCATTGACGCCGCTCCAGGGGAAGCCACTGCCAGGCCAGGCCTGCAGGCCTGCACCCGCGGGGGTGCTCTGAGGGGGCCTGGGGGGCGGGGTGCTCTGAGGGCCAGCCCCTCAGCTGCGTGGTGGTCCCCGCGCTCGGTGGTCCCCGCTGCCGTGGGAGCAGCCCCGCCTCGGGCAGCCTGGCCGCAGGTGGCACCAGCACTGCGCCAGCGCCACGCAGGCCCCGCTCCCTGTCACCTGGATGCCGTGGTCGCTCCTGTGGCCGCCCAGCGGCGTCGGGACCCCAGAGCATGGGGATCCGGCCCTGGCCAGCGCTCCCTGCGGAGGCCGAGCCCTGGCTTCACCCCGCGTGGCTGCTCCCGGCAAACATGCCTTTCACTACTTTGCAGGTTTTTTATCGGCACCTCCGTCTCCACGTTTTCTTTTCGGATTCACGAGGAGAGAGAAATCCTGGGGTTGGACCCCAAAACAACATACAACCGATTTTGTGGAGACCAAGAAAAAGCCTGTGAACAGCCCACCCACTGGAAGATTGTGTACTGAGCCGCCGACACGTCTGCACTGCGGGCCTTGCCGGCCCGGGGGCCCGTCTGGGGCCACCCGTGGCGTGTCCCGGGCCGAGGCCACCTCCCTCAGGCCTGCGTAGCGCCCCTCGAGTGGAGGCTCAGGCCCAGGCCTGGATGTGGGGAGTGGCCGTGAGGAGCCGCAGCCAGGGCCCGCGGATGGCGACCACAGCGGGAGGCCCCAAGGTGCTGGGGTGACCGCCTGCCGCCTCCTGCCCGGCGCCGCAGGGCTGAGCCCTCTGCTCTGCAGTCCGGGGACGCCACCACAGGCCTGTGGCGACGGGCTCTGTTCAGGTGGGGAAGGCCTGTAGGCCCAGCTGGTGGTTTCCTGTGACCCCCGATGGACCCTGGGCCTCTGCGTGGATCGAGTGCCACTGAAAAGGAACAGAGGCGGCTGCCTCTCGAGCTGCCCCCGAGGCTGCTGCCTGCAGTCGCGCCCGCTCTGCAGAGACTGCAGATCTGAGCACTGCCTGCGGAGGAGGGCGGCCTGCCCCTGGCTGGTGGGACCCCGCGGGCCCCACCCTGCCCCTTGGCCACATCCCTCTTGGGACTCCTCCAGCACCAGGCACGGAGCAGCCTCTTCCAGGCCCCCGTGGGTGGCTCAGGCGTGGGGAGGAGGACGCCGTGGGGCGGGGCGCCGCATGGCGGAGCTGAGCGGAGCCAGCGGGACGGGCGGGCGGTGTATTTATTCTTTTCCATTGATACATCCCCATCCCGCCAATAAAGTACATTTTCTAGAAAATGAGTCCCAGGATGCGCCTGTGTCATACCTTGAAGTTGGAGGCCAGGGCTGGCCACCGCGGCCTTGTCTCCGGCCAGGTCAGCCGCAGGGGCCAGCCAGGCTTCTGGATAGGGCATGCGCTGCACCTGTGCCTCCCCGGCCTCGTTCCCCGGCTCACCTGCTCTGCTACGGGCTGAGGCCGGGGGCTGGATGGAGGTGGTGGACGAGCACCTGAGTAGCACCAAGGGCATGGCAGAGCGTCTTGGGGCTCACATGGTGCCAGCGGCGGGGGCTACAATGGGAGGGAGGAGGTGCAGGCTGATGGCAGCTGCACCGCATCCGTGCACGGAGCTGGTGTGTGCGGGCAGCCAGTCACCGTGGGGCCTGGCGTGCGCACAGTGGCTCTATGCCAAGGGGTGTGGGTGGGGTAGGGGCACCAGGAGGGCTAGGACGGGTGCAGCCAGGTGTTGGCTGTTTCGGGGCTGGGCCGTAGTACCAGGCTGCCGCCCTGGCCCGGTTCTCGGGCCTGTGGAGGAGTCGGGAGGAGGTGGCGATTGGACCAGGGCTCAGCTCTCTTCAAAGCCAGCCAAGGTGGCGAACTCGGCGGCTTGGCTGCTAAGCAAGGGAAGCAGAGGGGTGGGGCGGCGTTCAGAGGCCGCCGGCACCTCCTGCTGGCTCCCGGCATCCAGCCCACCACCGGCTGCCCGGCTGCGGGCGGGCGGGCGGCCGGCACCGTGGAAACGGTCTGCGGCAGCTGAAGCGCTGGCTTCTGTGACAAGGGCGTCTCGGGAGAGCAGGCTGCTCGGCGTCGGCTGAGTGCGACACAGGCCACGCAGCGGCCACCTGGCCCGGCGCTGCACACCCGTGCCGGCTCCTGCCGGCCCCGACTGGCCGCTGCCAGTGGTTTCTAGAGGAAGCAGCATGAGGGACAACCCCAGGGGGCGTTTCCTCGGGAAGGACGAGGGGGGTCAGCCGAGACAGCCCGGAGGGGGCGGGAGGCCCCGCTGTGTGGGCACCGTGCTGGAGAGGCGGGGAGATGCTGGCAGCCCAGGACCATGGCTGTCCTGTGGAGCTGAGGAGCTGAGCCACGGTCCTGGCCTGGCTCACGGGCGCGAGGGGACGTGTCCATAGCTGGCCTTAGAAACAGGATTGAAGCACGGAGGCGGCCTCCCAACAACCGACACCCCAGGCCCAGACACTCGCTACTGAGCTGCTACAGAAACCACCACGATGCAAGGCTGAAGGGGAGAGTGAGAGCAACTCCCGAAAGAGCAGAGATGGATCCACGGGGGACAGCAGGCTGCCGCACGGGTGGCAGGACACCTCCTCCAGCCAGCAGCCTGGAGACCTGGCTCCAGGAAGCAACAGGCCATTGGTACCGTGAACCCTGGGACAGGCCAGGCCATTGGTACTGTGGCCCCTACAGCTAACACCTGGCTACAGCCATTTCAGACAACAGGATCCAGGTGTCCCGGCCAGTAAGGGGCAGTCTGCTTGATTCATCCCCATCGGAGAACAACCCAGATAATCACTGAGATCTCAGCCTTGAGCAGCTGGGATTACAGAGAGGCCCACCAGCTCCTAGCTAGCACATTATTCTTAAATGTCACCTGGCAGAACCTGGCTTGTTTCACAAATTTGTTTCAGCTCTGTAGCTATGGCCTGCTAAAATCCACTTCCCTTCTAAGCTGCTTTTGTTGCTCAATTTTGGCCAAAAAGGGACTCTTCTTTGCCCTGCTTCTCCCACGTGGACCCGCTGCCCACCGCATCTCCCTTTCAGGAGGAACTAAAACAAATTTCAACTGATGTCCATAGAAAAAGCCAACCCAGAGATATGGGGTAAAAGCATCAAGACTGAAAAGCCCTACAGAAGGCACTGGAGCACGGCTTGAGTGTGAGGTCTTTTGTGGGGAGACACTGGGGCTGTGGACTGAGGGTCTGGTGGGCTAGGTTGGCAGTGGGGCTGTGGACTGAGGGTCTGGTGGGCTAGGTTGGCACTCCACCTGCCCCACACTTTCAGCCCTTTCTATGCTTTATTTTTCAAACAGGGCGTCCCTTTTACGCTGGGAATGTCTTCAAAGGTCCTTCCACTGCACTCCATGGGTAGAATTGTGGGCCTGGACAGCAGGCCCAGCGAATTTGTTGCTGTTGGCTCTGTCCCACGTTTTGCCCTGGCTGGCCTCAAACTGAGATCCTCCCAATTTCTGCCTCCTGAGTAGCTGGGATTACGAGTGTGAGCCACTGCACGTGGCCTAAGGCATCCTCCCTCCTCCACACTCCCCTCTCTGGTGGCACTGAGGCTTGAACTCGGGCCTTGCACTTCCCAGTCAATTGCTCCAAGTCCCCAGCAAGAGGGTTCTTGGGCCTGTCACCTGTACTGCCACTAGGTGGTGTCACCAGCCATCTTCCAGGTTTGGCTTCAAGGCACTAGGGACCTGGATCTCAGGGTACGGGCTGAGCTTTTTCCTGTCCGGCAAGGTGAAGGCTGCTGACTGGTGCGTCGGCTGGCTGCCTGGGCTCCGAGGGGCGCAGGGCTGCACAGCGCTGTCCTCGTCCTCCGTGTGTGCTACTGACAGTTTACCAAGGGAATCGCACCAACTTTGGATGAGGTTTATCAAAGCCAGCGCTGAGGAAAAGCTTTTCTGGCTGAAGTCTCCACCTTCACAAAGGACACCAGGGACCTGTGGGGAGGTCAGGGGTTGGTTTCAGAGGGGTTTGCGGCTGCGTCTGGACTCCGCCCCTCGCCGTGCCGGGGGGCTTCAGAAAGATCAGCGGGCTCTGTCTGTGCCTCTATTTGGGGGCGATTCTCCATTCATCAAACTATTCCCCTGTACCATAGTGGGGCACCTCCCTGGGTGGCCACTCAGGCCTCCTTGCGGTGCTCACCTGGGGACACGAGGCCACGGTCCCTCTGTCAGGCTGCCCCCTCAGCACCTGTTCACCTCTGCGCTTCTCTGCCACTCCCCGCTGAGAGACAGAAACGGGGGAAAGGCTGACTGACCTGGGCTGCCGTCAGAGGCGTTGGCCAAACCCAAAGCCAGAACGTCTAGACAAGGGGCCCCGGCAACCGACCTACCCGGGGCCCGCAAACAAAAGACAAGGGGACAGGGAGCCAAGAAAACCGATAGGAGCCCCCAGTGCCCATCTCAAGTATGCCTGCCTTTCATGAAAGGGACGCACGCTCATGGTGAATCACTGCTATGTACTCTAGAACTTCTCTGTATACAGTGAATGCATACGAAGGAGCCCTGTACGGTGATGATTTAAAAAAAAAGGGTCAGTTGAAGACAGTCCCTCTCTTAGCTTAGGTCTGATTATTAAAGAGCAGAAATGCTGCTGGCGGAGCGTGGCCGGCGGAGCGGGGGCTGCTGGTCATTGAGCCTTTCGCGCAGCTGTGGAGATGCAGGCTGCTCAGGGGAGGCGGCTTCCTGCCAGCGCCCACCCGGCTGCTGCCAACCGGTCAGGAGAATGGAATCTGGGATTACCTGTGCTGTAGTGAAGACCAGCTCGTAGCCATGGACGAGGCCTTGTTTGGTCTGGAGCTGTCTGTTCTCAAGGGCATGGATTCATCCCTTCCTGACCTTGCCCTGGGTGAGGGCATCGTCCTGCACAAATGTCTCGAGGCGTGGTCTGGGCTGAGGAACAGGAGAGATGGACAGGCCCAGAAACACAGGAGAAAACATGAGGGGAACCATACCTGCTCCAACAGGCAATAGACCAAGTGAAGCCTGCAGAAGAGTCCTGGACGACATTCTCAGTGATGAGCCAGTCTGCATGCAGACCCGAATCCCATCTGACTCAGGGGACACATCAGCCAGGGGACACATCTACAGGCCAGGGTGGAGTCGGCGGTTTTAGGGAAAGTGGCCAGGTCTCTGTAAGGCCAGCATGGAAGCTGTGACGCTTGCCTTTTTGCATTGTTCATCTTTTGGGCAGGGAAAACATCTGGCAGGGGCAGAAGGGGCAGACTGAGCACCCAGTCCGACCTACGGCCTCCCACATGGCAGGACAGCTGGAGGAAACTACTGTGCTCCGCTTATTTCTTGAGTTGGGTCCTGCAAACTGTCACCAGGGCTGCCGGGCGCCCGTCGGGTCACTGGCTCCCAAGCAGCGGGTGGGGACTGCAAGGGTTTCGAGGGCAAAAGATTTGAAGCCACTTGACTTGCCCAGGGATTCATTATCCTGCCCCTCTCGATGTCTGGTACATTTTCAAGAGGCCTGGCCTAGCTGACCCAAGCGCTGTCACTTGTCCGTGGGTCTCGGTTACCTTGCCAGGCCTGATGTATTCCAGGGGGGTTGGGGACATTAAAACGTTTGTTTGAGTGGCTCGTTTCCCCATTTTTTTTGAAGTGTTTCTATCATACTATCCTGAATGCATTCTCGCTGCTACCTTTGAAGCTGCAGATTTAGCTCATTCTATTTACGGCACACATCTTCCACGTAACCTAATCCTTCGTGTCAGCCTATTGAACCAAATTAGACTTATTTTCTGTCAGAAAAGTCTGACCTACTTTTCCATTTGAAGTAAAATTGTTAGCATGCTTTTCTAGGGATATTAAAAACAGAGAAATAAATTGTAGTGCACATCTTAGAATTACTGAATTACTGAGGACAATAAAGACAGTTTCAAACATGTAGATCTAATATAATTAACTGACC